TTGAACACTTTATTTGTCATTCTTTGGTATCTAGCCCCAGAATTTTTGAGCCCAAAGGGCATCACGTTGTAGCAGTAGTTTGCCCTTTCAGTAATAAAGGCCATTTTTTCTTGGTTCTCTGGGTACATTGGGATCTGGTTATAACCAGAACAAGCATCCATGAAAGATAGCAGTTGGAATCCAGTCGAGTTATCCACTAGCTGGTCTATGTTGGGCATAAGGTAAGAGTCCTTCAGACATACTTTATTTAGGTCTGTGTAATCCGTGCAGACCCTCTATTTTCCGTTAGGCTTTTTTACCATAACGACGTTGGCAAGCCAGGTAGTATATTGAACTTCACGAATGAACCCGATATCTAGTAACTCCTTCACATGCTCTTTTAAGACATGTTTCCTTTCTGGCCCAATTTACCAGGGTTCCAGTGATGACCAGCCCGTCAATGTGCCCTAGCAAAACACCTTGCATATCTTCATTTGTGAAGTAAAGTAGACGGGGATCTGGTTTACTGGGATCCTCCTTGAATTTGGAACGATCTCTAATCAAAAATACTTCTTTCAGATACTTTCGTCTGGCACTTACTGTATCTCCCCTCCTCCGAGGGCTCCACTGATCACATTGCAATCGAATTCGGCTTCATGGAGTTCGTCATTGTTGGAGTCGTCTCTTTGGTTTCTATCCTCTTTCTTTTTTCTTTTCAGGCACTAGACTCTTGCTTCTCTTTCTGTTTCTGGGCTTCCTCTTATTGTTTTTGGAGCCTTGAGTCTTAATAATGTATTGACATAATTTCCTTTTTACAAATTTTTCCACCGTATCCCTGAGATCCCAGCATTGATTAGTGGTATGCCCCGGTCCATCATGGAAGGCACAATATTTGGACTTGTCCAAGCCTCCTTTGTCAAATATGGGTCGGGGTCTATTTGCTTTTTTCATCTCCGTCATTGCCACCTCCCTCCAAATTTGAGAGCGTGAGGCATTCAACGGTGTGTATTTTTCATACCTTCCAACCCGGTCTCTATCATCCGAGATTCCCCCTGGAGTCTTTCTTTTTATTGCCGGGTCGTTCCTTTTCTCTTGGGGCCGGGCTCCCCCTTCTAGGACTCGCCTTTTTACTCTTCTCGGCTTGCGCATTTGTTATCTCCATATGTTAGAGTTCCATGTATTTCTTCGAAAGGGTCCTGAATTCCTCCAATGTCCTCACAGGATCTTATAAACTGATTTGACCAATCTAGACGATCCATCCAGGCCGGCCACAATGAGGTGGACATGAACATTTTCCTGCAAACTGGGCACTTGCAGAGCCGCATCTTTAAACCGATTGAGATACCTCTGGAGGGTTTCTCCGGGTTGTTGTCGTATATTTCCAAGTGAGAACTCGGGCTTTGGGTGTTTTTTGCTTATTGCAAAATTCAACATAAATTTCTCTCTGAATTCCTCGAAAGAGCCGGTAGAGTTAGCAGACAGGGCTGAGAACCATGCCTGCGCAGCCCCAGTCAAAGTTATAGCAAATATCCGGGATATGATGGGTTCATCAATTCCTCAGATATACATGTCGGTGTCGAATGCATTTATATGGACCTGCGGATCCTGGCTTCCATCATATTTTGGCAAGTGTACCGAATCGAAATCCTCTGGGAAAAGAGCATTCATTATCTCACCAATGAAGGGGATGTTATTGTATTTCCCCTACTGTATTTTCTCCTGTAACCACCGGGTTCCACGCGTACTCTGGCTGGTTGGGTATTTTGGTTAGGATGCGTACCATCCCGATTTCTCTGTGCATTTGCTCCTGCTGAAGTACTCTGGATCAAAGTCTGCGCATTGGCATTCTAGTTATTCATTCTATTGTTTCCTGGGTTCGGACCCAATGTAGTCACAAGATTGGGCCTTCCATTATTTCTTGGATTCAGACCCGATGTAATCCCAGGATTGGGCCTTCCTTGGTTTTCTACCTCAGTAACCCAATTTTGATGACCCGGGTTGTGATCCCCATTACAGCCATTATCATCTCGGCCTTGGATCTCTCTTGCTTCCGGCCCTGTCATCCCCATCAAACGTTGCTTCAAATACTGCATTCTCCTGACATTTTCTTCATGCATTCTCTGGAAATCTTCTTGCCGCTGGAGGTTGTTACGATTCTCAATATCCTCCATTCGCCGCAAAATTGCGGCGAACGCGTTTTGAGCAAGTCAGGAATCAGGATCTGCAGATCACTGTGCACAGTAAACAAATAACGGCTTTGCCAAAGGGGGGTGTGCGTGCGTACAGTGACAATATAACAGTAAAAGAGAGAGTGTACCGCACCTTTAGGGTTTACCTCTTATTTGTAGGGATTGCCTGTGGGTAGTATGATATGTGCCTCTAATACCTCTAATGAGGGCCCAGACTTGTCTGTCATGCTGTCGTATTAAGATTAGTATCCTTAATGGATATTTATTCATAATTATACTTGATTTAAAACTTGGATTACCCCTTGTTGGACCTGTCAATCTATGAGCCTTTATATGGGTCAATAACACTTTGACTGATTGTACGCGCAAATAATCTAGTTATAGTGTCATTAGCTGAGCAGCTCTTTAACACTGGTGGGAAGATCATGAGACCAGCTTTGGTGTTCTTGGAGTCGAGGGTAGCAATAGAGCTACTTGGCTTCAGGGATAGAATTCTCTCTCACACACACATGCACATCTTGAAAAGCATCGGTGTTTAGCATTGAAATGATTGATACTGCAAGTTTGATACACGATGAAATATATAGTGTGAGTTGGTTTGCGTAATGGTCACCAAATTTTTTTTTTCTTTTCAACTAGTTCCGTCATTGATAATTTGCTATATATTATTATTATTATTATTATCAGGGTTCACTTTTTCTGCAGTCAATGTAGATAAGTTTTTTATATTGAGCTTAAAATGACGTCGTTTTGGGACGGAATCAAAATATTTTTATAATTATAATTTATTTCATAGTTATAATAGTCTTTCTTATTATAATTTTTTAATTTCTCGACCTAAAATGATATCGTTTTAGGAGTAAATATAAATAACTTATATACAGTCACGGTATAATGCTTACAACTTTATTATTATTATTATTATTATTATTATTGGGGTGCCTGGTAGAAAGCACAAATGGACAAATGATTTCTCGTAGAGACGGTGGGGTAATTGTCAATCGATCGAATATTGAACTAGAAAATTGTGCTTAAACCCTGCGTTTCTCGGTGGAGATTCCATATGAAGAAATGTAACCATTCATCGATTAATTTGTGTTTTTTCACTTTTGGGTTCATGGTACAAGAACAAAATTAAATATCGGAAATTCATATTTTCATATAAATAAATTGAATTAGTGATGTTATCATTTATCCATAACGTGGAAATTTTTTTGATCTTCAAAAATTCCAAAATAATTATATGATAATATGAAAAAAGTATTTGTCATTTTAAATGGCACAAAGCTTCTTGAAACTTTAACGTTTTTTCTTTCTTATAAGCTCTCTGATAAAAATAAGATACAACTCTTATGGACGGATTACGAAAAAATTTCAACTTTACAGTCCTTCTGAAAAAACAAACTTATCGTTTATTATAAATGCACCTATCAATTACAATTATCTATCGGATAAAGTATTTTTCTAATTACTGGAGATAAGTTATTTTTAGTGATCCTCAAAACTACGTCATTTTCAAATAAAAAGGATATTTTGTAAATTTGTTTTTTTATCATATGAATTTTATCAAAATATCATTCATTAATTCCCTAAAATTACAAAAACATCATTTATTAATTCAAAACGACGTAGTTTTGAAAGTTATTGTCATATCCAATGACTGGAGAAATACTTTACTCTTATATATTTTAAATATCTTTCTCGTTCTTTGATTTAGTCAAATTGTTTTTTTTTCCTCAAGATAAACTCAGCCGATAGCCGAAGATGAATACTTTCAAAACGTAAAAATCACCGAAATACATTTTGTTCCTATCAACAAAGTTTTTTTTTTCCATACACACTGCCAGCCATATGTAAGGGTATAAATGGGCTAGACCGGCCTACACGAGCCTATGACCTAGCCTATATTAAGCCAAACTTGATCTATTAGAAATAATAAAATAGAACATGTACAGGCTTTTAAAAAAAACTATTTCGAAAGCAGGTCATAGACTTTTTTATACTTGTTGAGCCTATAAGGCTACATGTCCGCCTATATCATATTATTTATTTTAAATAAAATTATTATTTTAATAATTTTGAATAATAAAGTAATATTAGATTAGTTATTCTTTTAATTATTGAATGTTTAATAGGCTTAAATACGCTAACAGGCCCAGATCAAGATTTTTTTTTATTTAAAAAATATAGGTTAGGCGAGACTTGTAATTTGGTGTCTATACAGGCTAACAGTCAAGGTCAGACCCAATGTTTTTTACACAAACATAACCTATTTAAGTCAAAACCTAACCTATCCTAACCTATTTACTCTCCTAGCCATATGTCACCTGTTCATTAAATCAAAAATTAATAACGTTTAGAGTCACATGTAGGCCTTACAATCAGCGTTATCCAATTGTAGAATTTCCGTTTCTGTGGATTGAAGAGAGACGGTGAGATTGTAGAGAAGAAAAAATTAACAATAAGTGAGAAATATTGAATTTAAAACTGATAATCCAATAAGTATAACCGCCTACAAAAATTAAGTAAATCAATAAAATTAATTCATTTTAAACAGTTATGTAACTAAATTACCTGATTCCTAAATAAAGCGATCAATTATCATTTATATATCCTTGGAGTTTCGCATAATTAATTTAAGGGACAGTATCCGTTTACAAATTTTTTTTGCAATTACACTAATGTAGGACCGGTCGTACACTGTGTGATTAACGTAGGACCGTTCATAAACAAAATAGTTTGTAAAAATATAACCTGCCACTTGATTTAATATTAAAGGGTTAAAAAATGGAATGTATAACTTTTGAATTTAAATAATAAGAACAATGCAGGTCAAAGCAAATCTGCAATACTATTAAGGATTAAAACCAGAAGGAAAACCAACTCCGCAAACAAAGCAAACTCGTTGACGAAGATAATTAAAGCATAATAATTTGCTTTGTTGTCGTCATAATCAAGGTTGAGGATGGAAAAAGCGATGACGAGGTTCAGCATGGCTAGGAACAAAATTGAATAGCCGACTATAAAATGAAAAGTTTTCCAAAATATTTTATACTTGTGATTATTTTCAGGCTTCAGGAATCTAGCAACAAATATTTGAACATGTGTCAGATACATTGGAGTGATCCCAATGAATCTGTGTGAAGCATTATGAACTCCGGAATGATTATGATTTCCCAAATACAAACCAGTAACAAAGCCACCAGAGCCGATAAAAAATGCTAGAGATACAAATGCTCGATGCAAAACGCCTGCAGATGCTCCACAACCACAATCACATTCTTTCACGTAACCGAATATTACCCCAAGCTGCATTAGAAATCCCCAACTAAAAGAACTCAAAATCCCATGAACCTGAAAGATCAAAATGTTATTCATGCATACTATACCATTCAAAGTTTCAAATTGATAATAAAAATATAAATAAATTCAAATTAAAGAGTTAGTCTGGCTAGTCAGTGTTTCTTACGTTTTTTAGTGTTGTGTTTGAGGAGTTCACTTCTACACCTGTTTCTGAAACATTCCCAGATGTAAAATCCAGGGTAGCAAAAGACAGAAGATTAGGTCCTGATAGGAAGTGTGCTTTTGAAGTTCCATCATCCCAAGCAAAACCTTCTTGCCAAACATGATTCACCAAAGTCCCATTGGATGGAATTTGGAAACTTGCAAAGATGATCTTGTGGCTGTTTATGTAGATTGCTAAAACATTAGGAACAGGGAAACTCAGATTACCGTGTTGCAAGAGAGTTACATAACTTGTTATTGGTGAGGTACAGGCTTTAAATGTCCCATATGATGTTAGAACAGCCACAAATGCTTGGGAACCAACCATACCCTTTGAGGTGGGGTTGATGGCCCAAGCTATCCAACTAGAATCTGTTGTGTTTTCCTTCTTGAAAGCAACATCAACTGTTCTCGAGGATGGATATAGTTAACTTGATTAGGAAAAGTGTATAAACTGCATGGCTCCGGGGCTTCGAGACTTCGACAAATAAAGATCTGTATGAAAAGTTCAAGAACTAAGAGAATATTTCCAATCGAAAACATGACCGGAGAGAATAAAATAGAGAGAGCTCTGTTGAATGATGTTTAGAACCATATGAATGCTTCCGTATATTTATTTATCATAAGAACAATATTTAGGTTTATAGGACTAATTAAGATAGGGATAGGATGTTGTGACACTCATGTGACACCCAGTCAATCTCACCGTTAGATCGTTTATGTTGATCCAACGGTTATATTTATTTTCATCTTTGTATGGTCATGATTTCCCAAATTTAAAGTGAAAGCATTCAATATGGGAAATCATAATCATACAAAGGTAGAAATAAATATAAAATATTAAAATACCAACGGATTTTTTTATCCAAGGAGAATCCATTAAAATTCTTTCAAATCTCAATCCAATACACCCCGAAATATGTGTCTCTTGGTTGGTTTTCATTTCTACGATTTCTTATTAGGGGTATAGTTTTGTTTCATGTCTCTCCTCATTCCACAATTACTATTTTTGGTTCCTGCGATTCTGACTTTTGAGATGAAAGGTACAATCCTATACGTGTTCTTTGATCTTTACTTTTTTTCAGCCCCTTTCAAAAAAAGGTATTCATGTTATAAAAAATAGTATTGAATGAGAAAGCTAGTTCAAGGGAATCTCGTTGGCATACTTCGAAGTGATGAAGAAACAAGGCTAGTTCTTTGCTCTACAACATTAAGTGATAAAATTTGTCTTATTGATAGAAGTATCGTTACAGAGTTTTTTTTTTTTTCCTGTAAACTTGTCAAAAAGTTGTTACTTATTGAATATTTCATTCTTGAATTACTGTTCCTCAATTGAGATGATTATATACCAAATTCTGAATTCAAATAAGAGGAAAAATCGAAAACTGAACTAACAACCAAACGACACAAACAAATAACAATATTTCCTAGGCTTTTTGACCTTTATGACCCTTAATTAATAATTAATTATCAAATTGCCCTTCATTCAAAACTATTTCAAAAATTTACCCTCTCCAACAAACATAACACCAATCTGTCCATATTTGACCGTTGACCACGAAGCCTACCCGGGTACACCCCTCCCTACCCTGGTATTTTTTGAAATTTTTTATCTACCCGGGTAGAGAGGGGTGTACCCGGGTAGAGTTCTTGAATCTGGAAAAATGGTTGAATTCGTTACCCGGGTAAGAAGGGTTGTACTCGGGTAAACATCCAGAGTAGCGTTTTTATATAAATGAAAAAAACTGTGACAGACATGGTTCATGGACGATAGCAACGAAGATCCAAGGCTTCCTCGCCATGGCAGCCCTAATGAATTTGTTTCCATCAACCAATTAGCAGGTCATTACTCTCTCTCTATCTATCTATAGTTTTACTTAGTTGTGATGTTGCAGAAAAATGGTGAGTTTTGCAGAATTGAGACTCTTATACTGGAAGCTGAATCCAAATGATGTTGAGGAAGATTAGAGAAACTAGGGGATACAATTACATGGTAATGTTGTATTAATTTTTTACTAATTTCATTTTGTTTTCTGTAATCAGAAGGTGCTTCAATTTTTTGCGTTTTCATTAACCTGATAGAAATATAAATCCGAGGAGAATATGAATTGGAAAAAGAAACTTTTTAGCATCTCGGTTATATAAAAATGCTACTCTGGATGTTTACCCGGGTAACTAATTCAACCATTTTTTCATATTCAAGAACTCTACCCGGGTACACCCCTCTCTACCCGGGTAGATAAAAAATTTCAAAAAATACCAGGGTAGGGAGGGGTGTACCCGGGTAGGCTTCATGGTCAACGGTCAAACAGGGGCAGATTGGTGTTATGTTTTCTGAAGGGGTTAAATTTTCGAATTAGTTTCAAATGAAGGTCAAATTGGTAATTAATTATTAATTAAAGGTTATAAGGGTAAAAAAGCCATATTTCCTATCTACAACAACTAATAATTTTTTTTTTTCGAATACCGACTTCACTTACCTCTTTGAAACAATCCTTCAGTATTTTCACAAGTTTTAACTCTTTGAGCTGGCTATGAGACTGATTTTATGCCCTCCCAAAGATGGTATTGGGGGATCGAACTGAGGTTCTTCCACCACCTACTTAACTATCATGCATCAACTGAGCTATTATCATTTAGTTATTGGGAGTAATTCAAATAACAGATAAAAGCTACTAATTTTATATTCAAACTTTCAACACTCCCCTTTAAATACTTGGGAACCAACCATACCCTTTGAGGTGGGGCTGATGGCCCAAGCAATCCAACTAGAATATGTTGTGTTTTCCTTCTTGAAAGCAACATCAACTGTTCTTGAGGATGGGGAGTAAATCCAGTGCAGAGAGGATTCAAGAAATTGTGAATCCATGCATGTTGCATAGCTAATAACAAGAGAAAAGAGAGGAACATTGAAATAAAACTGTGTCTTGAACTGATGCAAGATGTACAATATATAGACATACTAATGGGCTGAGCCCAGACCTAATACAAATCCTAATGAAATAAGAAAATAAATAATTACAGATATACAAAAGATATATTCTTTCTAACACTCCCCCTCAAGCTGGAACGTATAGATCATATGCACCAAGCTTGTTACATATAAACTCTATTCGAGGACCCCTCAAAGATTTTGTAAATATATCTGCTAATTGCTCATTAGAGGGTACAAAACTAGTTTTAATTTCACCAGCAAGAACCTTTTCTCGAACAAAGTGACAATTGATTTCTATATGCTTGGTTCTTTCATAAAACACTGGATTTGATGAAATGTGCAGAGCTGCTTGATTATCACAAATGAGAGTTGTCTGTCCAGTGTCTCCAAACTTAATCTCTCTGAGAAGCTGTTTAAGCCAGATGAGCTCGCAAGTAGTAGTCGCCATGGAGCGGTATTCTGTTTCAGCACTTGGTCTGGAAACTACACTTTGTTTCTTACTTTTCCAGGAAATCAAGTTGCCTCCAACAAAGATACAATACCCAGAAGTAGATCTCCTATCAGCTGGACAACCAACCCAATTAGCATCACAGTACCCAACAACTTTATCATGACCTTTATCTTCATATTCAAGGCCTTTTTCTTGGAGATGCCTTGATATACTTAAGAATATGAATGACTGCATTCCAATGTTCTTGACATGGAGAATTAAGAAATTAACTGACCACACTAACTACAAATGAAATACCAGGTCGAGTGACTGTAAGGTAGTTTAATTTTCCAACCAATCTTCTATACTGCTCAGGATCTGGAAAGAGCTCCCCCTTATTTGGTAGAAGCTTGATACTTGGATCCATAAGAGTATCAACAGACTTAGAATTTAACAAAGCAGTTTCTTCAAAAATATCCAGAGTATATTTCCTCAAAGATATCACAACTCCATCTTTATATTGGGGCATCTCGATTCCCAATAAATATCGAAGTTTCCCAAGATCCTTAGTCGAAAAATGGTGACATAAATGTTGTTTCAACTGAGTGATCCCATGCCTATCACTACCTGTGATGACAATATCATCCACATATACCACCAGGTAATTAATAGATCCAGAAGCTGAATGACGATAAAAGAGAGAATGATCAGCTTCACTTCAAGTCATGCCAAATTGTTGAACAACACTGTTAAATTTACCAAATCAAGCTCTTGGAGATTGCTTGAGACCATATAGAGACTTACGAAGACGAAAAACAAGACCTGACTCCCCCTGAGCAACAAATCCAGGAGGCTGCTCCATATAAATTTCCTCCTCAAGATCACCATGAAGAAAAGCATTCTTAATATCAAGTTGGTAGAGAGGCCATTGGCGAATAGCAGCCATGGCAATAAAGAGGCGAACAGTAGACATTTTCGCAACAGGAGAAAAAGTACCAACAAAATCCAATCCAAACACTTGAGTGAAACCCTTCGCCACCAAGCGAGCTTTAAGACGATCCACTTGACCATCAGGTCCAACCTTAACAGCATAAATCCATCTGCAACCAACCACATATTTTCCAAATGGAAGAGGAACCAGATCCCATGTACCATTATGTAAAGAACCAATTCAACCCAAAAGCTTAAGTTGTTGGATGAGATTACATTAATGGTTTTATATATCTCAACACGCCCCCTCACACGAGAGCCCACTGGGCTTGAAGGGTGGACAATGCACATGCCCACCTACCTGTGCGAACAAAGAAATTCCACTTGAAAGAAAGTGGGGGGCGGTGAGGTTCGAACCCGGTACACCGAGACTCTGATACCATGTTAAATAACAAGAGAAAAAAGAGGAACATTGAAATAAAACTGTTTATTGAACTGATGCAGGATGTACAATATATAGACATACTAATGGGCTAAGCCCAGACCTAATACAAATCCTAATGAAATAAGAAAATAAATAATTACAGATATACAAAAGATATACTCTTTCTAACAAAGTGTATGAACTGCATTGGCTATGGGACATTGAGAGTGTGAGAAACAAAGATCTGTGTGAAGAGTGTGAGAAACAAGAAAAAGTTTCCAAACGAAAACATGACTAGAGAGAAAAAAATGTGTTGAATGTTTAGAACCCTTCCAATGATTCCATGAGATACGTGACAGTTTTGTTTTTGTTTTGTTTTTCTTTTTTATGTGTTGAAAATTTTATCTTATTGTATCATTGAAGCGGAAATTATATCTTATTGTTAAATATTTTTGAATTTAAACAATGTAAATTTATCTTATCTTGTTGAAGAAAAAACTGTCTTTTTGTATGCTGTTTTTTTAATTTAAGCAATGCAATATATTTTTTCCTATATTGTTCTACGTATTAATTAGTATGATGAACATCAAAATAAGTTCGATAAAGTATTTTGAAATATCTACACAATTAATTATCTAATCACTTATCAATTTTTTTTATTTAATTAATTATACGATAAACTTTGCATAGCACGGGAATTCTAAAGGCAAAGTCAAATGCGGACAAATCTATTGATATCTACATCTATTCAATCGATCCTTACTCTTACAAAGGGTATTATTCTTGGTCATTTTTTAGTCATTTCCAAAATGTCAATATAATTAATTTTAAAACAAATAAAAAGAAAAAAGAGTTTGTTCCAATCAATAAAAATGATTAAGATAACACTTCATATAATTTAAAAGATAACTCTTTCTCTACCAAAAAAAAAGTAACTCTTTGTCTACAAATATAAATTAACTTAGGGTTGTTCATTAGCCGATTCAAACCGTAGTGACCGATTAACTGAAAATTGAAAAACCAAAAACCAATAAAACAACATATTATAATTGGACTGAATCAGTTTTTAATTTAGTTGGTGAAGACCGATCCAATTCAAACTGATTATTTTTGAAAGATGGTGGTTTAGAATCTTGTTGCATTGTAGACTTGGAATCTTGGATGTTATTGATAGCAAACTATCTTTTTTTATTGTCTATTAATCTATTATAACTCTTTATGAGTTTGAAGACTTGTTTTATTTTGAAGACTTGAATTTTTCATCAGTTTGTAACTTTGTATAGCTTTATTTTGATATAGCTGGTGATTTATAGGGGTAAAATTTTAGACTTTTTGAAAAATCGAAAACAGATCCAATCCAAACCGAATAAATTCGGAGTAGATTGGATCAAATTTTACAAAAAAACCAAACCGAATGATAATTAAATGATCAAACCGGAGAAATTGGATCGGATGTTTTCTGCTTCAAAATTATCCAATCTAGACCGCAAACACCTTTAAATTGACTAACACGACAGTACATGTCAAAAATTATATATATATATAGGATCCTTTGACACCAGTGTTAAATTAGAAGTTTGATACCTCATCTGAGAGTCGTTAGATAAAAAAGGATTAATGATGTCACATGCTTACAAATTAGAGTCGTTGATCTTTTTTGATCTAAGGGCTCTCAGATGAGGTGTCAAATTTTAAATTTTACACGGGTGTTAAAGAATCACGCCTCATATATATGGAGATTAAGTTATCTCCAACGAACCCGAAACGACTTCGTTTTGATATTGAAAGATTAAAAACTCATAACTATGAAGCATTAAACATCAACAAGTACAAACATCAACAAGTTATAACAGTTATTAACACATATTACCAACTTATAATCATTTAAGGTGTTCACATGCGATATACACATGCAACAGATCAAAAGAATAATAAGTTTTACACAAAATCTTAACTATTAATTTCTGTGTATCTAATGGTTATGATTTATTGGTAATTAATAATTCATTAATTAATGTAACCCAATAAATTACAACTGTTAGATTATTGAAATTTAAGTCTTACACCAAATCTTAATCGTTGATTTCTGTCATTCTAACGATTATGATTTATTGTAAATTAATCACTAATTAATGTAACATAATAAATCACAACCGTCAGATTCATGAAAATCAACGATTAAGATTTGATGTAAGATTTCTTATTCTTACGTTGGTATAAGTTGATCATGCCTCATATATATATATGGAATAGGATCCTTTGACACTAGTGTCAAACTAAAAAGCTTAACACCAAATCTTAGCCGTCGATTATAATTTATTAAAAAATAATTAATTAATAAGTGTGACTCAATAAATTATAACCATTAGATTTACGAAATCAATATTTAAGATTTGGTGTCAAAAACTACAATTGATTGAAGCTCGCGATTATAAAAATTCTAACTAACCAACCATACCCTTTGAGGTGGGGTTGATGGCCCAATCAATCCAACTAGAATCAACTTGGTGGGAGGATGGGTGGTAAATCCAGTGCAGATAGGATTCAAGAAATTACAAATCCTTGCATGATGTAGAGTTAATGTGATTAGAACAAGTGTATGAACATATGGCTCTAGGGCATTGAGAGTGTGAGAAACAAAGATCTATATGAAGAGTGTGAGAAACAAGAGAAGGTTTCCAAATGAAAACATGATTAGAGAGAAAAAAAATAAATACAATTGTGTTGAATGTTTAGAATCGTTCTAATGCTTCCATTACCATAACATATGTGACAGCTTTTGTTTTTGTTTTGTTTTTCTTATGTATTGAAAAGTTTACCTTATTGTTAAAGGGGAAACTCTATCTTATTGTTAAATGTTTTTGAATTTAAACAATGTAAATTTATCTTATCTTGTTGAAGAAAAAACCTTTATCTTTTTGGGTAATTATCTATTTGGTAGGGGTGCAGATGACTTTTCAATACAATTTCTTTCAAATTCATTAAAATGTCATGTACTGATTCTTGAATACCCGCTATGGTAGAATATTCATGTGGTATCTTATCAGATTTTGCACTTGTGATACACGTTCCCTCTATGCTTGTGGAGGAATTATAAGAGATGAATATGGTTATTGGAAAGACAGACTTGCTTATTACATTGGTCACTGTTCAGCTTTTGTTGCTGAATTGTGAGGCGTTTTCAAGGGTCTTGAATTTGCATGGGCTAGAGGTTGGAGACGCTGCATACTAGAAATTAATTCACACTCAGTTATCACTTTGCTCTCCAGGAGTGGAAGAGCAGCTCGAGAGTCTCGTTTAGTGACTAGGATTCGAGCATGGCTACAAAAGAATTGGGAAGTTCAATTGGTTCATATTTTTAGAGAAGGATTTTTTAAACCCTTCCTCTCGTATTTGACCTTTTTATTGAACTGATTTATCTTTGGTCTGTAATTTTAGAAAGATTATGTTGAATTGATCTCTTTGGGGTGTTGTTTTCTAACCCCCTTTGATTACCCAAAAAAAAAATAACTATACGATAAAGTTTGTATAGAAAGGGAATTCTAAAGGCAAAGTAAAATTTGGGCATATCTAATTATATCTACATCTATTCATTCTATACTCACTACAAAAATTCAGGCATTTTGTGGGGATCATATTTTCATATTGTGGGGATCTTTGACCCCCACAAAATACATTTGTGGCATCCACACCAATCCCAGTTTTGCCAACGTTACAACATATTTTGTGACGTCTTTTTGTGTAACACCACAATTTGTTGGAGTATTTTCTGGAGGTTCCAGACCCCACAAATGTTGCACTTTCTGGACGTTCAAGACCTCCACAAACGTTGTATTATTTATGGAATTTATTAACCTCCACAATATATTTGACTTTTTGTCATTCAAAGACCCCCACAACATTTATCATTTTTTGGAGAGCATAGACTGCTATAATTAGTTTATTATTTTGACAGGTTTAAACCTGGTTTACATATCATAATTTGGGAATTGAGCCCCATCACTTAATTTATTAGTCAATTTATTATTTACTTGTTTGATCTCTTTAACATTTTATTGAAAACAATTACTAAATAGTAGTTATCCTTGAAAACAATTTATTATTTAGTTGTTTGATCTGTTAGTGGCAGGGAGGTAAGTCACCGTATAGTATGTGTACAAGACTAAAGGAACTTTAAGGCAAAAATCCAAAAATGACTAGGTTTGATATATAACCCACTACAGCTTAAGGAAGGGATTACAAAGTTCATATTGACAAATTTGCTTATCATCAAGGGCATTCTCAGTTAGCTTCTGAATGTATAAGCACAAAATAACCATAATTCTCAATTGGATGCAGTAAATAAATGTGATTTTACAAACACTGCATTCAAAGCAACATCTTGTATGTAATAAATAAGGGATCCATTAAAGAATTATTGTAAATGGTATAAAATGCCATCCAACATCTCTCCGCGTTCCAGAATCACTTCTATGCATTAAGTGTGGCATGCTATTGTAACGCTCGACAACTTAGTTTGCGTGCTTCAAATCAAAGTATCCAACATCTACAAGCGTGTGAATCCTGAGGCCCTTCAAACCATCTATCCCGTAACATACTAACATGTTTACAGGTCCACATATTCTGTTATTAGAGAAAACTAATGAATATGCCATACAAGTACAAAGACCATACAATACAAAGATGTAGGTAATAGAACTTACACAGGAAGCAGTGGATCGGGCCTACTTTCCATGTTTTGCAGCAAACTGCAGTATGTCAAGCGAAATTGTTTAAGCCATATAATCATATTGTTGCAGACAAGTGAGACAACTAATCATGTCATGCATTCTTTAAAGTAATGCAATTATATTTATTCAATATATAGGGAAAAGCACTAGAGTCATAATTTACACCTAAAAAATGGACCCAAGACATAAAAATAATCTTCCTGATCATGGTGAAGGATTAACATAATCTGTCTCCAACTATGCCTGATCATCAAGCTTACCTTAACATAGTCTGCATGTCCTGGGCAATCAAAATGAGCATAATGCCTCTTTGCTATTTCATACTCTACATGAGCCTGCAAAATCGAGACAAAACCTATGATAAGCTCAAGAGATGCTTACAAAAATTTAATTGTAGAACATTTAGCTCTGTGTCAATCAATCACAAGATGCATAATTTGAGTATGGACATAAAAAAAATAAAAATCAGAGGATTAGTCTTTGTGTTTGACTTTGCTTATCAATGTTGCAATTAATATCGATTCTATCTTTATAACTTACTCTGAATTTGAAAGAGAAAAAACCTTGAATCCTGAATTCATGCCGTCCCAAAACTTCATAGACTTTGCTCTTATCTTTCAGAGACGCCCTCAATGCACAAACCAGGGACTGCCACATGTTCCTATTCAAAGAGTCCCCTACGAACACCAGCCTCTTACTTCTTAGCATGTGCAACATTTTCAACCCATCAAACCTATATTTATGAAAATGAAAAAATTTCAAGACTAAAGAAACAAACAAGAATTTGAACTATTTAAAGTAGCAAAATAGCAAATGAAGTTAGAAGAAGTTAGAACCTTGGAATCTGACATCCATGTGGCTTCCACCGATATTTAAGATATTTCGAATCATAGCTCTTCTTCCTTATTATATTGGATGATTGTGTTCTATGGATTTTATGATTTAAAATTTGGATTTTATTGTTAAATCTTATGGTTACTCTAGCCTTATTTTTTTTGTAGTGAATGAGTACTGTAGCATGTTTAACACATTATCTGAAGCACTTGACACTGATGGGACATTTGTATATCAAAGAGGATAGGTATTAATACAATTGTATTGTGCATCAACTCACAAGAAAAGGTTCGAGGTATTAATAAGCACCTTCAATACCAATTGAAATTTAAAAGAATGTCTGCATGGAAATAAAAAAATAGGGGCATCTGCAGGTAATATGATAATGAAAACCTTCTAAATCATATTTTTAAAGCACTTTTACCAAAATCTAAAATCATATTTCTGCTTGAAAGAGAATAAGAATCATATAAAAATCTATGTCAAATGACACAAAAGTTCAGGGTATAAATACCAAGCAATACGTATCTAATGGATGAGACGATGGAATTTTCTAATTTGCATTGCAATAGGGAGCTTTAATATATACAAGCATTGGCTTCCTAACCCATGATTTTTATTTTTTTATTTTTTTTTTGGGAGTTACCCAACCCTAATTACCTCTTTGAGGCGAGTTGGCTCCCTCCGGTATCCCCACAAGCTTCGACTCTTTGAGCCGGCTATGGGACTAATCCGGAGTGCGGGGGTCAGTGATGGCTAAAGGTTCAGCCCCCTCCCCAAGAATGCATTCAGCGGGAATCGAACACATGTCCAACCCCACTAACTCAGCGCCAAGGAACCAACTGAGCTGCACCCATTGGGGTTCAGCCCCCTCCCCAAGAATGCAATTATATACAAGCATTGGCTTCCTAACCCATGATTTTAAGACCCAAATTTGGTACCTAAAAAATCATAATAGGATATGTCTAGGATCTGTCAAATTACAAAACACAAAAAGCCTGACTATATAAGGAAATAATTGGAATACTAAAAACCTAATTGTTCCTGATTGTTTGACCAGAATTGGCAATGATCTTCAGTAACATTCATATTATTTGGATTCATCAACTATAATTCTCCCACTTTTAATACTTCTAATGGAAAATTAAAGAATGACCATAAGGCATTAGAAGTAGTAGCATCTTCAGTCAAGTATGACGATAAAAACTTGCTACAAGTTCATCAAAGTAAGTAGCAGAAAGAGAAAGTAGTAAGTCACCTATGCACTGTATAAACCTGACACGTTTCACAAAAATCCAACAACTCCGGAAAGCCCTCATCGCCACAAGTAAGACAAACAGTTACCTGAAACAAGTGTACACAGTTTTACTAAAATGGATCATAAAAGCAGATGTACAACTCCAAAAGCTGCTAATCATAAGCTTTTGAGTTATGTACGGTTGAGAAAAAGGCATTGCCAAAAAACAAAACATTTAAAATTCTTTCTTCTTCTCATTTCAAATTTGTATCATGTTTGTCTGACAAGACATGCCAAAAAACAAAATAGTTTCAAAAGGTAAACTCAATCAACAATTATTTACATGTCACAGTTAGACCACTAGTAGAATAGTTGGTTCATTCAATTGAAAAATCTAAATTAGCCAAAATGTATAGGATAAGCAGATTCAAGCCTGTCACAGTAACACTGAATAAAACTATAATCAAATTAGTAACTAGATCTCTTAAGAAACAACCACTGTATTCTTTGATAGTTACATTGAAAATTAGCAAATGATGTGAAATACCTGAGACAACTGTGTTAATCCGAGGCTGCTCGTTTTATTTGAAGAATTAACAATCACATGAATTAACAATCACATGAACTTATTCATCTTATGTCCAGAAAGAATCAATTAAATCTCCTCATAATTCACACTAATTTCATCGTACCCAGTGTCATAGTTGATCAGCTCCACAACGCTAATATAACAAAATACAAATCAAATCTGAATCAATTACAGAATATACAATCCCTAAATAGGAGATATAATCCTTAAATAGAAATACTTTTCAACAATTTACAATAAATGAATCTATACACGGTTTTAATCAGAAACATACCTTTAGCTGGCCTCGGAAAAGAAGAACCCAATGATTGCTTCCCATTCTATGCCTCCCAAAACCTCCATATCCTGAAGAATATATACATTTACAAAGCAATAAAATCCAGCTACACTTGTTAAACCTACTGCATGTCAACGATTTTGATAACCAAGCTCAAGATCGGAGTACAGAAATTTACTCTTCTATCACTAATCAAAAAGAAAAGAGAAGAATGTCCTTGAAATGCAGATCATCAGCGCCAAGAAAGCTTGTTCTCCCTGCCACCAAAGAAGTAACATATAAAAAAAATATAAAAATCTTTTTTCAAGTGTTTGCATAAGATAAAGCAAATAATACTTGTATTGGTAGAACTTGTGCGATCCGTTTATCGTCTGCGTCACTGACCTCGAGCTCGTCGGCGACGATAGCACCACCGCCTGCTATGCCGTCACAGCTGCGTCTATGGCGGTGCCCATAACTGAATGCGAAATTCATGTGGAACGGTAAATAAATTCCCCAATTGAAATTGAAAACGAAATCTAAATCAAAAAATTAAAGAGTTTGAAAGCCCAAACTTACTTAGGATTGGTAAAAAAAACTACAAATGGCGGAGAAGAGAAGCGAAAGAAAGAGAGAAAATGAGGCATGGTCATCATTTTGGCAAATTAAACACAGATCCAAACCCTAGTAAATAAAAAGAGAAATGAGGAAATTAGAATCCCAACAGAAAAAAAGAGATGAAGAAATCAGAATTAAAAAAGGGTTTAAGTTTTATTATGTTGTAGGATTGTAGGAGAGAAAAAAAGTAGAGAGAAGTTAAATGTGGGTCCCATATTTTATATTAAAAAAGAAAGAAAAATTAATTGGCACGGAAAATGAATTTGTGTAGGAAAATAATGTAATCTCATGTGGCATGAGAGTATTATTTCTCATTAAAAAAAGAATAGTGTGTGTTACGAGGAGAGTCTGAGATTGAGAATTTGAGAACCAATAAAAAAAAAACAGTAGAGTCTGACACTGACGATCAGAGAAAAGGCATTGTGGGCGCATTTGGGAACTACTCGTTTTTTATTACATAGTAAAAAAATTTATTTTAAAATTTTTTATATTAATTTACGATGTCACATGTCATTAAAGTTTATTGAACAGAGATAAAGTAATATTAAGTAGAAAAACAATAATAAATTGTGAACCCTTAAAATCTGTCAAAAATTATAGTGGAGGTTTTTTTGACCTACACTTAATAACTTCTACTAATCACCTTATTTTTTTAGTGAATTACTCTTATCAAGGGTACTTGCATTCATACTTCCCTTCTTAGGTACTTCATTTCTTTCTTGTATGGGAATAACATTTATCTTTTTAAAGGATATAAATTTATATCCTTTTGAGATCCTAACCGTTGATTTCTGTCTATTAACAATTATAATTTATTAGATTAAAATTATTAATTAATTAATAATAAATTTGGCTCATTAAGTTTGGCCCAATAGATTATAACCGTTGATGGACGAAAATCAAAAGTTAGGATCTAAAAGGATATAAGTTTATATCCTTTAAAAAGATAAATGTTATTCCCTTCTTTTATATATATATATATATATATATATATATATATATATATATATATATATATATATATATATATATATATATATTTGTTTTTAAGCCACCAAGAAGACTAATAAAGAATCACATCAGTATCAAAAACATAATTTTAGATTTCAATGTACATTACCCCGGTAACTTTTCAGATATTTACATTACAATAGATTTAAATATAGCTACAATATAATCAACATTTTGCAATTACATGAAATTTCAATAGGGCAAACACAGTTAAGTACTTCCACGTACGACAGAACTAGGAGAATCGGAACAGATTTATTTATTTGTATGACTCAAAATTTCATATAGCACAAGAGGTATCTCCTTAGCTTTTAGAGGAACCCAATCACTCCTCTATTTAAGGATATGACCTTACCACTTGATTGTCTAATTAATACACCAATGTAATAGTACATTAGTTAATTACTTAGTTTTCAAATGTTGTAAGCTGCCCAATGTAGAACCGTGAAGGGTTTATTTACCTGTGGAAACCTTGAGCTTCAATAGACCCTATTTATCTACTTTTTCCCTTTGTTGTTGCTCACCTCTGTTCGTTTGTTGCTCATTTTCTTCAGAAGGATTACAGGAGAAACAGGTTAAATGAGAAGGAGGCTTCTAGGTTTTTTTAGCATAGTGGAGAAACAAAAATATATTATTAATATTAGGGGTGTTCGCGGTCTGGATTAGATCGGTTTTTGAAGCAAAAATCATCCAATCCAATCCCTTCGGTTTGATCATATGATCATCCATTCGGTTTTGATTTTTTTTCAAATCCGATCCGATCCAATCCAATTTTTTTCGGTTTGGATTGGATCGGTTTTCGGTTTTTTGAAAATCCTAAAATTTATTTCATGATTATTGTGCAAATAACATCTTTTGTATATATTGACTTTGTAATTTTTTTTTTTGAAATACAAAAGCATTAGTAAACTATAATATAATTTTTTTAATTTTGGCAATGAGATATGAAGCTCTACAAAGATAAAATTTTGTTGATGAGATATGACTAGATTTTTTCTTGAGTTTTGTTGATGGGTTAATGGGTCTTGGGTTTAGAAATTTTTAAGCTATGATTAGGGAAATACCCAAGTAGGTAGAGGGAAATTAATATATTGGATCGGTTTGGATTGGATCGGTTTTCATCAACCCATCCAAAAACCGATCCAATCCAATTAAAATTTGCGATTTTTAATCGGTTTTCGATTTTTTAGTTTTCGGTTTATTCGATTATCGGTTTTTCGGTTCGGTCACCGCGGTTTGGATCGGTTGATGAACACCCCTAATTAATATTACTAAAATTCATATGAAAGTTATGAAAGAATAAGATGCAGTCTCTATTTTAAAAATGAGGAGGGTTATTCTCACTACCAAAATTTCATCATTAGATATTTACAAAAAAAAAAAATTCATCATTAGATTAACATTTTCTCTCTTTTCAAAAACTTTTTAACATTCTCTCTCTTTGATCCAATGGTGATGTGATGGGTAGTAAGAATTTTTGGTAGTTAGAATATCCCCACTCTTTTAAAATTACCAAAATAATGTAAGATATGTATATATTCTTATCTTTTAGATTAAATGTGTTTGTGAGCTGAGTTATTCTTATTGGCTTGAATCACATATACATGTTAAATTGAATTGTTAAGTGATAATTATAAATATATTTAATCATTATTCCATTAAAACAAGACTTAAATAATAAATTCTTGCTTTTAACGTAAATAATTTATTTATAATAAGCTAGAGCTTTACTAATAAAGGTGTTGTTGATTGGTTAACGATCCCAATTAATTTGGTACAAATGTATTGTTGATGTTGATGTTATAAAACTTATTACAAATTTCTATTATTGTTTGTTTATAATTCTCAAATAATGGTCTTTTGGATAAATTGGATTTTTGGCTCTTTATTTTGTTTAATTTATTTTTGTTCTTAATTTCCAGCTTTACGTTTCTTTGATCATAACTCATTCCACAGGTGTCTGATTGACCCCATTTTTGTTGCGTTTTGCAGCTAATTCAGAGAGCTACAAATGTTGTGAAGACATGAAAGCCTAGTTCAGACAATATGATGGTCAAAGATTGAGCACAAATTCATCACGAGTTGCTGTAGTTTTTAATTAGTTAATTGAGTTTAAGTTTGTAATTGGGAACCCAATATTTATGAGGCCTAAATTCACTATTTATCTTTTCTTTTCTTTTATACTTGGTCAGTATTGTAGAGCCTATAAAAAGGCATGAGTAGGAGACCTTGTCATTCAGTTTTAGTTTTTGTTAAATTGTCTCAGATTGCTTTTACAGTTTAGAGATTAATATTGTTTTCTTTTTTGCTCTAGTTCGTTCTTCACTTTTCTTCTTTTAATTATGAATTTCTACTTAGCCAGGCTAGGCTAAGCTCTCTTTAGTCAATTCAAAAATTAAGGATTTGAGTTCTGCAATTGCATCTAAGGTAAGTGATTAAACATTAGATTTAATGTTTAGGTTGATTAACCTGATGATCTTAAATCAAACGGGCTGATACTCTGTGATTGCATGAGTATATGTGTTGTATTGATCAAACACTAGGTGATCGTCTAGAGAAGGGTTCTTAAGCAATTGCAGGGATTCTGAATTACTTAGGGTCAACCATGATTTGGTAATCCTTTATTCAATGATGGATATCTTGGAATCCTAATTCTTGGATTGATTGCTTTTAGTTGATAATTTTTGTTTTTAAATTCTTTTTTTTACTTTCTATTTTTAATCACACAAACCCCCTTTTTTATTTCTTATTTTTAATTGATTGATTAAGATCCTCACAGATTCCTTGAGAGAGACGATTACTTTATTACAATTTTTTTTACAAACCTAATTAATTTGAGTGAGTTCAACGGCTCAGGTTAGTTAGCATTCATTCTGATTAAAATTATTGTAAAAATTATGTTATTGAAAGATCGAAATTAGTTTTAAACTTGTAGTTTTCATTTTAATTTTTCTATTATCATGGCTAGCTATGTTGCACCAACATTGACATGGAACACGACACTCTGACATGTTAATTCTAAAAAATGTAAGAATTCGACACGCTACGACACTTTTTGATATTAAATAATATTTTTAATTTATGTAATGTATATTATATTTAATATTCAATAATTCAACAAAAAAATAAAACTAAACTTATAATACCTGGGTTTTTGACCCTTTTGCCCCTAATTAAATAATTAATAACCAATTTGTCCCTCCCCCAGAACTATCCACCATCCTGCCCCCATTTAGTCGATTATGTTGCACTTTTAATCGACTAAATGGGCTAAACTCAGAAATTATGAAACGCGAATTTTAGTCGACTAAAAACTCACCTTAATCGACTAAATTGTTTGCACTTTTAGTCGACTAAGCACATTATTTAGTCGACTAAATGTCGCAGATCAGGTTTTTAAAAAAAACCCCCATTTCGCAAAGGGGGTTATTTTCAAACCCTAATCGACTAAAAGGCTGCATTCCGTCCCCTCTCTCCAACCAAGTCCGAATCTCAACCCTTGAAGGTGCGATTGAAGCTTCCTTGGTTCACACTTGCGAAATCGACATTTAGGTAACATATTCTGACTTGCATTTGGTTTTAAGTTTAGTTTTTTTTTTGGTTTTCTTCATGCATTTTATTTATGTTTGCGGTTTTGTGGATTTAGGTTAGGGGTAGGGTGCTAAGTTTGTTGTGAGGGTGAGGGTTAGGGTTGATGTGGTGCCTTAGGCTTAGGCTTAGGGTTGTGTTAGGGTTAGTGTTAGGGTTAGGGTTAGGGTTAGGGTTTACGTTGCTGTTTTGTTTGGGTTGTAGTGTTTAGGGTTAGGAATGGGTTTTTGTGTTCTGTTTTAGGGTGTAGGGTAAGGGTTAGGGTTAAGGTTAGGGTTAGGGTTAGGGTTGAGGGATAGGGTTTCTGTTTCTGTTTTAGGGTTAGGGATTGGGTTTCTGATTTCTGTTTTATTTTAGGATTAGGTTTTGTTTTTTATATTGAATTTTAAATTTTTTGATATTGTTATTGTTCATTGATTTTTGTTTCCACTTGCATTGTAGGTACAGTTGTTCCCATGGCTGGCCGTAGAAGATCGTCTAGCACTGGAAATGAGAGACGACA